AAGTAGCACAGGGTGCGCGGGGGGGGGGGGGGGGGAAGAAAGCGGGCAAAAAGCAAAAGCCGTTGGTTCCCAGCAAAAGCCGATAGTGGCTGGAACATCCCAAGGTCAAGAAAGTAGATAATACCCAGACAGTGAAACTCTGTGCATAGCAGACAGAGCAAGGTGGTTTCCCCCTCCGCACATTCCAGCGAGATGGCAGTGTTAACTGACAGGCGGTAGGTAACGTGATCCTCTGCTTGGCACATAGAAGGTCCTAGATTCAATCCCTGGCATCTCCAGTCAAAAGGACCAGGCAGTAGGTGATGCAAAAGACCTGCCTGAGACCCTGGAGAGCCGCCGCCAGTCTGAGTAGGCACGGCTGACTCTGGTGTACCAATGGTCTGATTCCGTATAAGGCGGCTACATGTGTCAGAGGAGACGGAGTGCCTGACTACTGTTTGCCTGCCTCCACCAAAAAACACCAAAAACAACCTGGAACCCGTTCTGGCCCACCAAGCAAAGAAAACCCATCTTAATTCATGCTGCTGCACGGATAACAGTAGTGTGCTTTGGTTCTCAACATCAGGTTTTCAAAGAGAGGCTAGATGGCCATCTGTCAGCAGTGTGGATTCCGTGAACTTTGGCAGATCTTGAGAGGGAGGGCAGGGAGGGTTCCCTCGCCGCTTAGTTCTCGTGGCCCTTTCTTACACGCCCAGGGAAATGCTGATCATCGCCACTTTGGGGTCAGGACGCCATTTTTCTCCAGGCCAGTTTGGCAGGAGATCCTGGAGGTTTTTTGTCATCTTCTGGGCATGGAACAGCACTCACTGTGTGTGTGCGTGTGTGTGGGGGAGAGGTACTTGTGAATGTCCTGCATTGTGCAGGGGGTTGGACTAGATGATCCTGGAGGTCCCTTCCAACTCTATAATCCTGTGATTGTATGTTCGAGATGCTTTCCTTTGGATTGCACCCACTGGTTGTAGGCTTGGGCTGTACCGAGTGGCATCTTCTGGGCATGGAACGAGTCACTGGGGTGTGTGTGTGTGTGGGGGGGGGGTATTTGTGAATTCCCTGCATTGTGCAGGGGGTTGGACTAGATGACCCTGGAGGCCCCTTCCAACTCCGTGATTCTGTTGCCATTGCTTTAAAATAAAATAGATAATTAGTACATTCAGCTGTGCGCCGCTTAAAGGTCCCATCGGAATTTATTGTTATAATGAGGTGGCTCAAGTGGTTAAGACGCTGAACTGCAGGCTGTGGAAGGTCAGTAGTTCAGCGGTTCAAGACCCGGGTGCCGCAAGACAGGGTGAGCTCCTGTCTCTAGTTCCAGCTCCTGCCAACCTAGGAGTTCGAAAGCAAGAAACTGCAAGTAGATAAATAGGGACCACTTCGGTGGGAAGGTAACAGCGTTCCGTGCGCCTTGGTGTCTAGTCATGCCGGCCACATGACCACGGAAACGTCTTCGGACAGCGCTGGCTCTTTGGCTTTGAAACGGAGATGAGCACCGCAACCCTAGAGTCGGATTCGACTGGCTTTCGAGCAAGGGAACCTTTACCTTTACTTTTTAAGATGGATTCATCACATTTTTTGTGGCTTTTCTCTTTCCTTCCCTCACTAGGCTGGAATGATTCGGACAGACGAGGATGAGTATTTCATCGAACCGCTGGAGAAAGGGAAGCAATTGGAAGAAGAAAGCGGGAGGGTTCACGTCGTCTACCGGAGGTCAGCGATTGCACAGAATCCAACCGATGTACTCCCCGACTTCCACCGTGAAGGTAGTGCTCACATTTATTCTTCTTTGAATTGGGTGCAAGAGATTCTTTTGGCTAAGATTGGTTGGCCTCTCTAGAGTTTTCTTTTCAATGTGAGAATTCTATTTGGGGTACTCGTCCCCGGTGTTCCCTCTAAGCTGAGTCAGTGTGAGCCAGCTCACAGTTTTTTTTAGCCTCCAGCTCACACACATTTTTTGTCTGAGCTCAGGCAGGACGGCTGCAGAGCAAACTGATCTATGCAGCAGCCAAATCGCTCGCTCGTAGCTTTAATGCCAGTAGCCCACAAAGTAGAATGTTTGCTCACAAGGCTCCACGGCTTCGAGGGAGCATCGCTTGTCCCCCCAAATGGTCATTCCTTTGGGATGCTGAGCACACAGTTTGGCCTGTGTCCCGAGATTGTGCGTGCCTTGTGTGATTGAATTAGTCTTCGAGGATCGGATGCGCCCCGCAGTGTAAACCGATCGCTGAGCTGGATTCGAATGGGATGGAGTCCTGTAACCAGAGATGACACTGCAAAATTAATTTGGTGTGTCGGTGTCTTTGGCGGAATTAAATATTACCCAAAGATGATGAAAGGAATGGAAAGTCACATAGGAGGTTGATTATTTGGAGAGCAGCAGTTTCGCCTGAAATCTCCCTAGAAGCTCAAATGATCAAATTGAGGTTATTGTACTTTGGTCACAGTATGAGAAGACAAAGCGTCACTGGAAAAGACGACTGTGCTAGGAAAAGTGGGAGGCCCAACTTGAGATGGATTGACTCAGGGTGATTTCCCACAAGCGCTGCTCCGCACTCACTCCTCCCTTTTGCCCCGATGGTACGTGTCAATTTCATACAAGCTGCTGGGCGGCCGCATTTTGCCCCGCAGCTTCGTGTGATTTCCCCCGCGTCTACTCAATCCTGTTTTTTGCCATCCACATGACCACAGAGAAGTCTTCAGGCAGCACTGGCTCTTCAGCTTGGAAATGGAGATGAGCACCACATCCCTAGAGTCGGATTCGACTGGCTTTTGAGCAAAGGAAACCTTTACCTTTTACCTTTACCTAGCCCATGGTCAGCGGTCCAGTAATAGTCCGTGACTTCGAACGAGTATGGTCGGTGATGAAAGAAGCAGCACAACAGACCCACGAGTCCACTTGCATGCGCCGATGCTTTTCTGCACATGAAGAATGCAGCATGTGCAAGAAACTCCACTGGCCTACTTTCAGCCTGGGAGCTGATACGACATTCTATATTCGATTTCCATTTCTAAGTCACGGGGAGGGACCACGATGGTGCCGGTGGAGTTTTTAGATTGCTGACTTGGACGAACTTGTCGTTGTTTCAGAGTAATTGGTTTGGTCTGGATATATTGGGATGTAAGCAGAATGTGGTCGGCCGGTCTTAAAATAATTACTGCTGATTCTAATCTGCAAAGTTTCCTTTCCTCCCCCTTTGTGAAATGACTTCCCCCCCCCCATGAGGAATGTTTGAGAACAGATTTCTCTCAAGCATAGTCGAAAACACTCAGCATCCCTGCGAGTTGAGGCTGGAAGGCAGCAGATATTGTTTTGCTCCCCGTATTCCATAAACTGGGGCTCTGGCATATAGATGTGCTAGATTCGCAAAGAACAGGAGGGAGAGGAGTCCCAATGTTCCCTCTAAGTTGTGGAGTCTTGTGAGCAAAAATTCTACTGTGTGAGCTACTGGCATTAAAGCTGTGAGCAAGTAATTCGGCCACGGTATAAATCAGTTTGCTCTGGAGCCATCCTTCCTGAGCTGAGACAAAAATGTGTGAGCTGGAGGCTAAAAAACTGTGAGCTGGCTCACACTAACTCAGCTTAGAGGGAACACTGGAGAGGACTAAAACAGACCTCTAGAGATGATGGAGGGGTGATATGCGGGGAAATCCTGAGTTTGGGGGAACTTCCTACCTGTCAACCAAACTCAAAAAATGGTTCCAGTAAGAGGTGATAGAAGAAGATGAAGAAGAGGAGGAGGAGGAGGAGATTGGATTTATACCCCGCCCTTCACTACCTGAAAGAGTCTCAGAGCACCTTACAATTCCTTTCCCTTCCCCTCCCCAGAAGGGCAGCCTGTGAGGCACGTGGGGCTGAGAGAGCTCTTTCGGGAACTGCCCTTGAGAGAACAGCTCTGAGAGAACTTGTGACTGGCCCAAGGTCACACCAGCGGTTGCACGTGGAGGAGTGGGGGGGATCAAACCTGGTTCTCCCAGATTAGTGTCCACGCTCCTAACCGCTACACCAAACTGGCTCTACTGCATATAAAGCGGCCAATGTAGAGTCGGATCCTGTGGAGACGTTTATGGAAGGTTTTGGCAGAGCAGATAATCTTTTCCTACAGTTGGTTTCTAGGAGACTGAGATCGGTTCCCCTGGAGGAGATGCCTACTTTGGAGTGTGTATGGCATTATACCCTGCTGAGGTCCCTCCCCTCCCCAAACCCCTCCTTCCCTAGGCTCCACCCCCAAAATCTCCAAATATTTCCCAACCCAGAGCTGGCAGCCCTGCCTTTTCCAAGCATGCTATTGCTTGCCCCACCAAACTAGGGTTGCCAACCTCCAGGAGGGGTCTGGAGATCTCCTGGAATTACTACTGATCTTCAGAAGACAGAGATCAGTTCCCCTGGAGAAAATGGCTGCTTTGGAAGATGGCCTCCGTGGCCTTGTGCCATGCGGAGGCCCCTCCCCTCCCGAGGCCCCGCCCTCCTCAGGCTCCACCCTCAAAGTCTCCAGGAATTTCCCAACTCGGAGTTGGTAACCCTACTCAAAACACCCCCTTGAAGGTCAGGAGAGCTTCTCAGGCTGACCATGCCATGGGACAAAGGGCTGCAACAGTGTGCGGAAAACAGGCAAAATGGCCTCCATCGCCAGTTTGGTGTTGTGGTTAAGTGCGCGGACTCTAAACTGGGAGAACCGGGTTTGATTCACCACTCCTCCACTCACAGCTGCTGGATGACCTTGGGCAAGCCATAATTCTGTCAGAGCTGTCCTTGAAAAAGAGCAGTTTCTGTCAAGAGCTCTCTCAGCCCCACCCACCTC